GGAGAGAGAATGGTGATGCACAAAAGGAGGTAAGGTTCAGAGACATGATTCTGGGCCTTTTTACTGCATAACAGGGACACGAACCTTACACCTGCCCCACGATAGGACAAACCAAGGTTATCTGAAAGAGTAAGTGGTGGTGGGTGGCTAGAGCCAAGAGTGCCATGGAATTATAATAAAGAATAGTTATTTTTCACATTGTAACTGGTTTTGGCACTGGTTTCAATAAACATCACATTGAGGTCTCTGGATTTTTCTTCCCCTCTTCTGCGGAGACTTGTCTGGACAAATGAGAAATTATATTATAAGGGACCAGATAGTGGTAAGACCCCTTCTGACCAGAGTTACTGGAGAAAAATAGATCCTTCTCAGGTATAATAATGCCTCCCTAGTAATAGCAACTCTAGAAACCTTGAACCTATAACCTTTCTGATCCCTGACACTAGTAACTTCTCCCAAGTAAATATAGCATAGTAGACCCTCCCCACAGAGACTAAGCTTTAGGTATGCCAGAAAAAGTTATAGTTACACCTTACCTTTTGTTCAGATCAATCTTGTTACCCACCAACATGATGACTACATCATTACCTCTTTCTGCCTGAACATCTACCCACTTATCCATTTCTTTGAAAGAATTGATGTGTATAAAAGAATGTGTTGCAGTGTTGAAACATTTAGTAGAGGTTTGGAGAGAACAAAGTACCTGTCCTTCCTCTCGCCTATTCTTACCAACCTCCCTATTGCTTACCTTAATCCCTTTATCAAATAAAACATAGCATAACACCCCCTTGTGATGCCATAGACAACCCCTGCAATAACTGAATCATAATGTAGCTAGGAATCAGGCTGCAAAAGTGCTGCTGGCCAGCTGTGTCCCATAGCTTCAGTTGAACCTGCATAAAACAAAGGTAGATAAAGGCTAGAACTTAATAAAGGCAAAGTAAAAAGAGTTAAGGAATCTGGATCTCTGAAAAGTGGCTACTATGACCACAAACCAAGTGACCTACCATCCTAGGACAGGTCCAATGTCATTATACTATTTTGATTAAGGAAGACCCTAGAGAGCAGCAGATTTAAGGATTCAGGGCCTCTTGGATTTTGTCTGTGTTACAGTTGGAGTTTAGATGAGGACAGAGAGAACAAGAAACAGGACAGGGTTGGTAATTTGGGGAGGTTTCATGTTTTCCTTCCCCTTCTTTATCCACAAATAATCTAGGGTGGTGCTACCCTACTGTGACACATATGCCTAAGGGGTTGAGGTACAGGATTAGTGATATGAGAGTGAATACTCTTCAGTCCTCCAAGTATATGATCTTAGACAGGAAGTCAATTCCAATGGTTGCCTGCAAATGAGAGATACGCACTCTACCCCTCCTCTACTCCCAATATCAGGCAGCCTTAGAACTGCAAGTGGAGAATAGCCTTTGAGAAGGCTGTCCTGCTCAACTTCTCAATACTTACAATAGATAACTTTGAGGAGAAGAATCCCTGAGTGAGTGGACCAAGGAAAGGGGCAAAAATGTACCTAATGATACCTTGGTGGTGGGCTCACCTGGCCGGTGCAGTTGAAGCTCTGGATCATGAACCAGGTGGTGACTGATGTCTTCCCCACTGTGAGGTAGATAAGTAAGCCATTTGTCACCCTGGGCGAACCAGGGAACCCTCTACTCCATTCCATACAATCACACCTCCTTATCCCCCAAGCCCAACCCAGAGCCCCACTGCCCTGCTCCTCCAGGAACAGGAGTTTGGATTTATGCAGAGATTAGTACTGGGATCCCTTGATGGTTTCCAGGCTGAAGCTTCTGTTCTTGCTGTGGCCCTCGCAGGATGTCAAGGCATACCTCGTGGCTAGCTGCCTGAAGTCACGGAGCTCTCGGTCCAACTGCTCTTCAAACCACCTTGGGACCGCCTCTGGGCCTGGGCTCTGCCCACTGGCCCACAGCTTCTGCTGTTCTTTCTCTCCTCTGGGACAGTGGGTGATCTCGGGAGTGGGGAAGCAAGGATGGACAGCACCCAGAGGGAAAGTTGAAGGACCTATGAAGTCAGGGGTCATTTAGGGGAAAAGCACCTGCTACAGGGTAATCTAATCATTGATGTGGAAGGGGGGCGCTCGTTCTTGATAGTTCCATTACCCTCCTGGAGGAGGACATACCAAAGAGATCGCCAGGAATCTCTGGACAAGCTGAGTTATTAAAGCGTTACAGTGGTGCTCTCACACAAGCTCCAGAGCCAGTTGCTCAGCTCCCCTCGTCCCTCTCTGCTGCCAAAGTCTCTTGCCTCTCCTCCCCGCAGGGTAAACTCCTGGATGACTATGTCCTCAGAGCTTGCAAAAGCAGCAGAGGGGAATGGAGGGTTAGGAACAAGTTTCTGGGCATCTCCACATTCCCTCCTTTTCTTGATCCCAGAGAAGTGATCCCTTCCCTGTCTTCCGGCTCACATCTTCAAACCCCACAGGGTAGCCCCACCCCTTCCAGATTGACCACACCCGATTGTTTCCCTTCACTGGCTCCCTCCCCAAAGACCCAACACAAAACGCCCTGGTGAGTACTGGAGGGGGAATTAGAATGGAGGGAGGGATGGAGGGAAGGGATCGAAGAATGAAAGAGGGAAATAAGGGTGAAAGGGCTGGCAGGAATGGAAGAGATGAAGGGCGAGGGTGATCCCGAGAGGAGAAGTGGGGATGCAGAAAGGAAAAGGTGGACGTCTGAAAGCACTGAACTATAACATAAAGCAAAACCGTAAGTTTTCACTATAAACGTATTGAAAGCAACACTCCAGGAAGCTTTTTTTACATATCCACTGTCAAAAAAAATGGAGGATGGCAGTGGGGAAAGGGTGATGGGACTTCCAGGCCTCTTGTTTCCTTACCTAGAAGCCTCAGTAGCAAGCAAGGAGAGGGAGGGGAAAATGAAGCTGAAGCTGATAAGGGGCTCTTCAGTTTCTGAAGAAATGTCTTCCCCCTCCCTTTTTAACCCTCTCCCTCCCACACAATACACACATACACACTACTTCCCCTGAAAACCTAGACACCTAACCTGCCTATTGCTATTCAATCTCCACCCAAACTGCTAGTCCCCATCCATGAGATCAGAACTGTTTGGTCCCCAACCAGAAGGCCCACCGTTCCTGTGAGTTCCACCTGGTCACTCACCATGAGATGGCTTTGGATGCATCAGGATCAGGGGCAGCTCCACACCAACATCACTGCAAGGATCTCAAGGCAAAGTTTCCCTCCAAGTCCACTCCTTGAACCTCTCTCGCTCAGTTTTCCATCCTGGGATGGCCTCAAACTCCCCCATCAATCCTTTGGTCTCCTTATCTCCTCATCCTCTCCTCTTGTCCCAGTTCCCCTCCCCACATCTCTTACCTGGCTTGTCAAGTTGCCTTGGATGCTGAGGGTAGAATGACAACATAAAATTAGCAGCTGGAAATGGAAAGTGGGAATATAATTTACTGGGGGATGAGGGATCGTAAGACCAAGTTAGCCACAGAACAGGTTTCTGGAAGGGAAGGTGGTTTGCTCACTGCGCTCACAGGGAACCTGATCTGGGAGAAGGATAGGAAACCGCTTGATTGGATCAGTCTAACTGGGAGGAAAACAGAAGGGAGAAATCTTTGGACTCTCAACCCCCACTCAGACAGACCCTGAACCCTCTCTCACCCTCCACTGGACACCATAAGATTGACTCTGACTTTGTAGGACACCAGGATCCCCAGCAGCTCCTTGTTCATTCCAGGTCTAAGACTGGAGATGGTAGTATTCATTGTGTGTTTGTGGGGGAGGAGGAGTAATTAATCAAGTCCCCCAGTCCTTTCCTGTGCATCTTTTGTCTTCCAACAGGCCTCCCAGGCTTTACTCTCTCCTAGTCATTGGAACCACATTTCTGTTCCTAAAATCCAGTTTTACCATGTCACCCTCTGCTCAATATCCTACCTCACTGAATCTTACTACTCTGCTTAGCAATCTTGTCCCACCCAGCCCCTCTAACCTTTTCTGTCCTAACTCCCTGACACCTGGAAAACAACCTAAATGGACCCATACTCTTTCTATGCCCAAAACATGCCACGGGGGTTCCCACCCTCTAGCCTTTGCTCATGCTATGCTATCAATCTGAAATGTTATTTTCTTCCTCTTTTGCTAACCAGATTCTACACATTCTTTAAGATCTAGCTTATTCTATCTTCTCCAGGACACCCTCTCTAGCTTTGTTGGCTTCTTTTAACTCCTATTGGATTTATAATCTGAACCACAGGTACTAATATTTAACTATTAGATTACATTTGCATTCCTCTTTGTTCCCCATCTAGACCATAAATTGACTGAAGGCAGAAATTGTCTTTAACTTCTTTGTATTCTCCACATGTAATGGGTGCCGAGTAAAAAACCCCACTGATTGAAAAATAAGGCACAGAAAGCTGTGTATTCTTGGAAAAGTCTCTTCATTGCTTGGGGGTGCTGATCTTCTATAAACTAATGCTGTTTGGATGATTTCTAAGGGTCTTTCTAGCATTAATAGTCTATAGCTACATGATTGATAAGGCATGGGGAGGGGTATGGGGGAATTAATGCTTGTCAGATGGTGGCAGATGGTTTTTCCTGGGAGACACATTTAACACTAAGGCCTCTGAAGTGATAGGACCAAATGAATGACTTGATAGAATTCTATCAATTTTTATCATATCATTCTCCTTTTTTGACCTCCTTTTCCTCCATTTCTCATCTCCTAGTCTTTCATCCATTTCTATCTTCCCTAGAGAGTAGGTACTGTAGAGATCACAGTGTTAGAACCAAATGACATGTGCTAGAATCCTTTCTAACTCTGCCACTATTTGCTACACACGCTTAGACAAATTCCCTCATCTTTTCAGCCTAGGGGTCCTTAAGTATAAAATGGAACACAAACAACTTTACAGCCTACTTTAGTGGGATTTTTATGAAGAAAACATAATACATACATAAGACCTTTGTGAGCTGTGAAATAATATACAACATAGGAGTTTTTTCTCTCCACTTTTTCCTTTCTTGCTGACTATGACCCAAGCCTGCCATTGATCCCATGGGAATTATTTAGCTTACTGCTGGCCCTTAGGCCTGGAGGGATCTATGAACACTGACCTAGGGACATTAAAAAAATAGGTAGGCTTTATTGAAGGTGAAACCTCACAACTGTATATATAACATGCAGAATGGGTAGGAAATAGAAAATGGAGGCTGGGAGTCACGTTTGAGTTTACATTGTGCTAGAGGCCAGATTGGTATCACCATGCTTGAGTTTTCCATCCAGTGCCAAGCCCTGTTTCTGGCAGTAGGCAGCCAGGAGTGGGGTTATTGTAAAGCTCTTGGAGAAGCTGGAGTTAACAGCTATAGTCTCCCTTTGAAAGAAGAAGAGAAGAACTTAGGCTAGGCTTGCCAACTAAGTGTACTTTCATTCGGAAGAGTATCTTCCACAATTGCATGAATCTACTGGAGTATCCAAGAGAGCTGGCATGTCTAACTATGGAGAGTGGGAACAATTTTCTCTGATGGAAAGTCCTTGTGTCCCTGCCTTCTATCAGCATTTTGATGATCCTCTTGTGGGTATCCTCCCTCTAGTTCTCCTGGGAATCCTTCCCTTTATCCATGTCAGCCCTCACTTCGACTTTTCTCAGTCCTAGGCTCTTACCCACTTTCCCCAACCCTCTCCTCTGCCTCTGGCCCTCAGCCTTCCTCCCACCACCCCACCCCTTGGCACTTTGACTTAGGGCCTCAGCTCCAGCTCACATGAACTCCTGAATGAACACTGTTTTGGTGTACTGGTCTAGTGAATACAGGACAACATCTGCGATCTCGTCAACTAAACAGCCAGGAAAAGCAGATGACTATAATTAATCAGTCATCCTCGAGACCCCAACTCACTGCCCTCAGATGTGATCTTATACAATATGCATGATGCACTAAAATGTGCTCACGGACAAACAAAAAATAACTATTTTGATAAGCCCAAATTGGAGGGAATACAGGTTGAATAAGTAGGGCAGAGTTTTGGAAAAAGATCTGTGGATTCAGGACCAGGTGCAGAGAAATAGGAAAAGAAGCTCACCTGAAATCTTGATTTTTTTCAGTGATCTTGCTGGTGCAGTTGTTAATAGAAACATTGACAGAGATGGGTTGACCAGGGAGAACACCAAGATCAAGACCCAGAATTCCTGTTTCCTTAGACCTGTTGCCACCTGGCTTCCATCCCTGTCTACCCAAGTAGGAAATCTGTGAATAAAAGGTTTCAGAGGGGCTGTGGGGTAGAGGACAGGAAGTGGGGGTCACAAACCTTCTTCTCCATCCAGGCCTGAAGTTAAAGGGGCTGAGCTGATAGAAGAAAGGGGCAGATGGCCTGGGCCCAGGGGCCAGGGTCTGCCTCCAGGTGTGTAAACTGTACTTTTTGAATCACTAGCCTCGCTGAGTTTCTGAGTAGAGGCCAAGGGGTTAGCCAGAACCTCTCTTTTGGGACTCACAGACCTTTCCCATGCCAACCCCATAGTCCAGTCCTTGCTTGAGAATTGGAGATGGGTGAAAGCCTTTCTCAGAGAACTCCTTTAGATCCTTGATGTGGGTATCTAGACCACTGGTCAGCAAACTATGGTTCACTGGCCAAATCTGGCCTGCTGCCTGGTTTCTATGCCCCATAAGTTAAGAACGGTTATTGCGTTTCTCAATGGTTGAAAAATTCAAAGAACAATAATATTTCATGACGTGGGAATTATATAAAATTCAAATTTTAGTGTCCATAAATAAAGTTGTATTGGAACACAGCCATCCCCATTCATTTTTGTGCTATCTATGCTGCTTTCACTCTACAGTGGTAGAGTTGAGTAGTTATAACAGAAACTAAATGATTTGCAGAGCCTAAATAGTCATTTTTTGGCCCTTTACACAAAAGTTTGCTGACCCTTGCCCTTGAGCAAAGCAGAGAAGTCAGGGGGGAATCAGAGCAGGCATCTGAGTTGATGGTGATAGTGCTGTAACAGGTTAGAAATAGGGCTGTTTCTGTCCTGAGAGCAGATCTGTTTCCTGGCACAGTTTGGAGGTAGTGATTTTGGAAAGGCTCAAAGAATACTGCTTAAGGATTTTGTCCTCCAAATTTTCAGCACAGAAACTCTTCACTTCCAAGTCAACCCCATAAGCTTGCAAAGGGCAAAGGCAAAGAGAACTCATTTCCAACATTGTGCTTCCCTTCCTTGTATACTGTAAGGAATGTCTGACCCCATTCCCAAGCTGTTCAATTCTCCAGTCTTGTTTGTCCATTTGTTCCTCCCAGCACTGACCATCTATCCCTTCCTGTACCTTGAGGACCTGGTTGCAGTGTCACTGAACAGGGCAGGTTGACAACCATCTAGTGGATTAGAAGGAGGGCAGCAAACAAAAGAAATAGGGACTCCTTTCTTCAGTTGTTCTTTAGCTTTCTCTCTTAATCTTCCCTGGAAACGTTGTCCAGGACTTGGGGTCAATACCTGCAGGGTAAAGGGGTAGGCATTGTCCCCCAGCTTGTGCAGCAGTTGCTCTTGCAGGACTGTGAGGGGCTTCTGGGGGTTGGTGGGCTCTGCTGGGATGACTTGTTGGACCTGTACATAGATGTCTTTGAGGAATGTCAAACCAATCACATCCATGGCCATATCGAAAGTCACATGTCAACATGAAAAACACTGCAGGCAAAGGAGGAAGAGAGTGACCTGTCAGGCCTGAGGGGGAAAGAAGGTCTTAAATGGCTCCTAAGACATGGAGAGACAGTGTTATATGATTGAAACAGTATAGCCATAAAGAAAAGGACTAATACATTTGACTACAGTAAAATTTAAAACTTCTTTACATCAAGAGTCTTTATAAGCAATGAAACAAGCAAAAGCCTGTGAGAAAATATATGCAACACATATGACAAACAAATGTTTAGCATTTGTACTATATAAAGAACTCTTACAAATCAAAAATAAAAATATCCCAATATAAAAGTGTGCAAAGAATATGAATTGTCTCCTCACAAAAGTGCAAAATGACATGGGCAATAAGATACGAAAACAGCCCTGGCCGGTGTGGTTCAGTGGTTAGAGTGCCAGCCTGTGTACCTAAGGGACACAGGTTTGGTTCCTGGTCAAGGGCACATACCTGGGTTGCAGGTTCGATCCCTGGCCCCAGTTGGGGCACATGCAGGAGGCAACAGATCAATGTGTCTATCTCACATCAATGTTTCTCTCTCCCCCTCCCTTCCACTCTCTCTAAAAATCAATGAAAAAATATCTTCAGGTGAAGATCAACAACAACAACAAAAGATATGAAAACATGTTCAGTCTCATTATTAATCAGATAAATGTAAATTAAAACCACAATGAGATAACATTTCATATCCATCAGGTTATTAAACAATTTAAAGTCTGACAATACTAAGTGTTGATGAAGATATGGAACAATAGGAGTTTATTACACACTGCCGGTGGGAGTATACATTAGGATAACCACTTTGGAAAACTGTTTGGTATTTTCAGTAAATTGAATCTGCTCAATATCTTATGACCTAAGAAGAATTTAGAGGGACTCTTGCTCATGTTTACAAAAAGATATGTATAAAAATATCCATTGCATCAATGTTTGTCATAGCATAAAACTTTAAGTAATTTAAATATCTGTCAATGGGAGAATGGATAATACAGTTGTGCTATATTTATATAATGGAATACTAAACTGAGATTAAAATGAATGAACTAGAACCCCATGTGTTAAAATGGTTAAATCTCAAAAACTAATGAGTAAAAAAAGCTAGCTGCAGAATGATACACTTATAAAAATTTATGTTTATCAAATTTTAAAGCATGTAGAACAATACCAAAGTTTCTCACAGATATATAAAGTAAGAATGTAGAAACATCATGGAAATAATAAACACCAAATTAGAGCTAGTGGGTAGAAGTAGGGTGGAGGTGAGTAGAGAAGTAAGAGGGAGGGAGGAAGGGGAATGGGGTGAGGAAAGGACACAAGGGAGACTTCACTTTGTTTCTGTAATTGTGTGTG